CCTCCTGGATATCTGCTCTCTGGACTTAAGCCTCAGTTGCCCTTATTTCCTATATTCCCAAAAGTAGGGTCCCGATGAGGGACTGGATGGATGCAGGGCAAGCTGTGAGCTATGAGATATCCTGGCATTGAAATGGGCCTGGACAAAGTTTCCCAATGCTTAACTATAAGTTAAAAGCATGGTCATGGACAAATTCTGTCATGATCCAAAAAGTAATAACTAGATTTGAACCCTGCTGGGGCTAGGAATAACTGATCTGGCCTGAACACTGTAGTCTGAGTCTGTGTTGAGATGTTCTCAGGAGAGTCACCCTACAAGTCTAAAAGTGTCTATTACTGTGTCCATACAGAATGGTAAATATTAGGAAGGAGAATTAAAGATATTAATTAAATTGCTGATCTAGGGATAGGAGAAACACACCTTTAAGGGCTGTTTTGCCCTCGCAGGCTGCGGTGGTCGGGAAGACTAGAAAAACATGTCAATCACACTCTCCGTGGGGAGGTGTGGTTGGGGAGGTGTGGAGATAGAAGAAAAAGAGTGGCTGCAAGAAGGAAGAGGAAGGTTGCTGTGGGGGTAGAGAGACGAAGGAGAGATAGAGGAGACAGATACAGCGGGAAGAAAGAATTGCGGGGAGAGAGAGAGGAAAAGAATGAACGAGACGGTGACAGAGGGACATGTGGATTGGAGGAGTCAGAGGGAAGGTTTAGACAGAGAGAGACAGAAGAGGACAGAAGGTTGCCGAGACACAGGGTTAGAGGAGAAGGTTGCGGAGAGCTGGGAATGAGGAGAGATTGAATAAACGGTAACTAGTAAGCAACCAGTTTGGTCCTTGTTCTTCCTTTGTTCGTCCAAGGCAACAGCCTTCTCAGGTGGGGAAGCGGCTCAAGAGGCTCAAGAAGGAGGGTGGCGAGAGAGAGTCTCCTGGAGAGCCCATGAACATCCGTTCACATGTAATCCCCAAGTGAAGGAGTTTATACAACTCTACGAGAGGGATTTTCACAGCCCGAGAGTGAGGAAATTTTTATAATGCTTCACTTTAAAAAATGCATTAGACAATTGTTTGTTCATTGCAGCACTCTTTACAATAGCCAGAATCTGGAAAAAAACTGAGTGCCCGAGAACAGATGACTGGTTAAAGAAACTTTGGTACATCTACACAATGGAGTACTATGTGGCTGTTAGAAAAGATGAAGTTATGAAATTTACATACAAGTGGTACTACATGGAAAGTATCACGTTAAGCGAAATGAGTCAGAAAGAGCGGGATAGACACAGAAAGATTGCATTCATCTGGGGGAACATAAAGCAACAAAAAGGGAGACTAACACCCAGGAATGGCTGAGATTAGTACCAGGAATTTAGCTCCATGACTTGAAGGCCAGCCACATGTGCTAGGTGAAAAGGAAGCTCAGATAGAGAAGAGAGCACCAAATAAAGGGTGTTGTGAGGACCCTCCCAGGGTGGGAGAGACATGCTAAAAGTAGTCTATAGACCAAACATGATTGCCACTCAATGCCTCTCTTGCAGAACACAATACCCAAAAGAAGAGAGAGAGAACAAGGGGGAATGCCCTGCCACAGAGGCAGGGTGTGACGGGGGGGATAGGGGGTGGGAGGGATGCTGGGACCCGTGGTGGGGGAGGATGGGCACTGGTGGAGGGATGGGTACTTGATCATTGTATAACTGAAACCCAAGCACAAAAATTTAGAAGTCTATAACTGTACCTCATCGTGTTTCACTAATAAAATAATGTTAAAAAAATAAAATAAAAAAATAAAGATGCGTGGAAAAGATAGAAAACAACAATGACAACAACAAAAAATATATTTTAATGATCTTTCTTTTAAAAAAATAAAAATGCATTAGATAATACTTTATGCAATTTATACAGCTTGAGTACTAGTAAGTAATATTTTGTTTTATCACAATCAATATACCACTGTTATTTATTAAGTTATAATTAATAAATTACTTGACTAACGTAATTTAACATATCTAGTTCAGTAATATATAATTGGGAACTAATATGGATAATAGGAAAAACAAAAGTTACTTAAATATAGAATATGTAGGTAATGAAATATATTAGGTAAATTAAATTTATAGAATTAATTTTATAAAAAAAACATATTCTGGGGGGCCAGGAACATACATGCCCTGGGTTAGGGCATACATGCCATGGTTACAGACATGCATGCAGCAGACAATAGGACAATACCTGGCACATGTGCCCAGCACTGCAGGCTGCAAGCTATGAAGATTCACAAGCATCCATGGGGTCCCTGTAAATCCTGGCATCACAGGATCCCCTGAGCAATATTTGGGAGAACCATCCCTCTTCCTCCAAGTGAAAAATAAGAATTCATATGTTAACCCCTCCAAGCCTTATTCGCTTGAGAATATGTCATGACACAGAGAAAGATAGCCCAAAGTTTAGAAAGTCAGGACACTTTGCTAATAGATTTTCCCCACATGGATCAAAGTCATATTTTATTAATACAGAGGCTGTCTTGATACTCTATGGATGCCTCCACATTGAAACCCACTCTTGGGAAAGCCTCCTTCGATGAAAATAGTTTGGATACACACGCACCTGCATGCTTGGGCAGAAGGTGGCAGCAGCTGATGGGCTCAGACAATCCTCCAAGCGAGATCTTTAGAGATACGCTAGATTTTATTTTTGTCACATCCTCACTTAGGTTTAATTATGCTTTACTATAAATTATTATTAGAACAATACAACTGTGTCAAAATAGGACTGAATCATCCATTTTTATGTTTAAAACCCCCATTTCACAAAAGAACTTTAATAAAGCTTTCAATTTACCACTCTGTTTCAAAGGCTTCGGCTTTTGTTATTTCTGATAGTTATATCTTAGTGTTTTAATATCTGGATATCTGACCTGCTCATGTTTCTTATAACATGGGTCTATTCATTTTTTTAGAAAAAAGAAATTTATTATTATTCTAAATTAAAAAACAAAAGAAAAATACTTCTTCTAGGATTTCCTGAAGGATTGTCTAAATATTATAAAAGTCAACAGACTGGTACAAAAGTGCCAATAGTTTTCATACTGGGATTATGACATCATTTACCCAAGAGTAGAAAGTTTTCTTAATAGACATGCCCTTTCTATCACACAATTGCTTCTAAAACACATATACAATTAGAAAATGAAATTACAACAAGTATTTGCATTGCTTATTCTGTAAAAGTATCTTTCCCCTTATTTTTATACTATGGGAATCTAGTAATGTCTGTATGTTTATTTAGAAATTGATAATCTTTCTGTAAGTTCCAATGGATTTTAAGTACCTCTTAAAATATTGTGAGTGCAAGTACTTACAAAATTCCAACTTAGTGTGAAATTTTAAATGTTTTATATTTAATCTTTATAAAGAACCTTAAGACACTAAAAAAAATACCATAAGAAACAGTATATAATCAGTATATTTAAAGTTTAACATATATTAACTAAAACTACAAGTCCTCTGTGAAAATTTTTAAGATCAATGTTTAAGATAAAATGCTATACTCATTCCTCTATTCTATTTTAAAACTTCATACCTTGAATGATTATTACTCTGATATTCTTTATCTTTGCAAGGTATGGATAACCCAGGTGGTGCCCAAGGGGTCTGGAGCACTTACAGCAATTCTGGGTCAATCAGTACAGAGAGTTCAAAATCAGGGGCTTGAGAATGAGGCACTGTGGGGTCTTGCACTGCCAAGGCACTCTGGCAATGCTGATAACCCTCTAGTTTTGACCCTCAATAGTGTGAGGTGCTGGGGATTGAACAGGGGTCCCACAATGTGTGTGTGTGTGTGTGTGTGTGTGTGTGTGTGTGTGTGTCTGTGTGTGTGTCTGTGTTTGGTGCCAGGGATATAGTCCTTATTCTCTATTCCATCAGACAGTCCTGTGCCAGAAACTATATCAACCCACCCCCCCAAAAAAAACTGTAAAATAACATATTTCCTTCTAGTTCCCTAAAACCTTATGTTTTATCACACAAAAAATATTCAATTCTAGTCTATATACAGGAAAGTATAAGTCTGAAGCAGGTACCATTTTTTAAGAATTTTTTTATAGTTTTCACAATATGTGCAGGCTCCCTCTGAACACAGACCACACTCAACTGATTCCCAACTTCTCATAGATAAGGGGGCCTGCATCCTGCCTGACTCAGCACAAGCAGAGGGCTGTGCATATGGAGTGTCACTTTGATGCCCCAACTCTACCCTGGCAGAGTGCATCCCTCTGTCTCCATCATCTCCCTGCATCCTGAGTGACTAATACACAGCCCTAGGAAGAACAAGAAACGGGAAACTCAGGGGACTAGCAGAGTCATTGGCCTTTCAGGCCAGTGTGTGAAAGAGCAGGATCCCATGTGGGACATTCACGTGCCACTGCGGTAAAGACCAGTTCTTCATCGGGGACCCACACAGAGACAATCTCCTACAGGACTGTCCTGGACAGTTCTCCCTTTGTTAATAAAGATAATCTCTCAAAGAATGAAAATGAAGTCACTGAAACTGCCCATGAGGTAGGAATGATAACAGTGCATAGGGCTTCTATTTGCATAGTCCTCATAAGAGTAACAGTTCATTGTGGTAATGCCTTGAATTGCACAACAACAAGCGTTGTCAATATACCAAATAGCAATAATCAATAAAACATGATGCACTTACCTTACTACCAAAAGAGTCTATGAGAGGGAAACTAATGTTTATTACCGGGGGTCCCCTTCACTCCCACATATTTATTTATTTTTTATGAAAGCAGACACACTAGGCATTCTCTGCTGGCCACATCACACCCAGCCAGGTGTGCCCCCTTTCTCTTTTATGCTCTGTCCCCCTCTTTCCACTCCCCTCTCTCTTTATGTCCTTCCACACCCCCACCCCTTTCATTTTTCTAAATAAAGCCCTCTTACTTCGAAAATCAGAGAAATAAAAGAAAGCAAACACCGTAGTCTATTATCCTCTGCCAGATACTTACGTCGAATTCATTCAGAGCTGCGGCCAGTTCGCCAATGCCTGTGTGGCCTTTGCCTTCCTCAGTGGGCGACGTGGCCTGAGCGGCATTAGAGATGCCGGCGATGGCCTCCTGGACTTGCTTGAAGACATAGTCCCGGTTGGCTCTGGTGGCAGCAACGTCCGGGTGACGGAGGAAGGCCTGGGAGGCCGTGTAGAGCATTGTGGCGTTCTTCTTGAGAGCTCCGCGGGCCGCTGCCATCTCATCTCGGCAGTGCGGGTCCTTCAGCTCCTGCGGGGGCAAAATACCACACATCACATAGCCATGGGGTTTGGCAAAGGCGCATCTGTGATGGAGTTCAAAGACGCTCTGAACTACACTCCATTTTACACAGTCTCTCTCTGGCTCACTCACTTACAGGCCCCTGAATGCATATTTTTCTGTGTGAATATTTGAAACAACCCTGCGCTGCCCCCCCTTTCTTTCACCAGACATGACCTATATTCTAGAATGCACATTTCTCCCAGCTCTTGGAATCCGTGTCCCCTTCTGTCTGCTTCTACTTCCCTCTATACTGAACACTCATTCTTATGCTATCATTTTATTAAACTGGTGTATTATTTATCTATCATAATACTCACACATGTTTCCGTTTCATGCTGTATGTTTAGTAACAATCGTAAGACCTGTCTATCAAGGGACTAGTATGACAATAATAGTTGGAAATGATCACACTGGACAAGAACTGAATATTAACGGTAGGTAAAGGGATATTCATTGTAACCTTTCAGTATCTGTATTGCACACCACAATGCCGCAATAGGAGAGGGAGGGAGAGAAAGAGAGGTGGAGGGAGGGAGCAGAAAGAGAGACAGACAGACAGACAGACAGACAGAGTGTGTGTGTGTGGGGAGGATCTCTGCCATAGAAGCAGGCTGGGGGAGGGTGATGTGAGGAAAACTGCAGACACTGGTGCTGGGAAATGTACACTGATGGAGGGATGGATATTGGAATATTGTATGATCAGTCACGGTCACAGTCCTCCCGTTGTTTATCGATTTGCTCAAGCGGGCCCAGTAACATCTCCATCATGAGACTTGTTGTTACTGTGTTTGGCATATCGAGTACATCACGGGTACCTTGCCAGGCTCTGCCGTGCGGGCGAGATACTCTAGGTAGCTTGCCGGGCTCTCCGAGAGGGGCAGAGGAATCAAACTCAGGTTGGCCATGTTGGCCGCTTGTAAGGCAAACACCCTACCCCTGTGCTATCGCTCCAGTCCGACCTAATTATAAACAGTGTTGTAAGGGTTTATCTCAGTTATTCAATTAAAAAATCTTAAAAAAAAAAGAACCCTGTGGGCTGGAACGATAGCACAGCAGGTAGAGCATTTGCCTTGTACACAGCTGACCCGGATTCTATTCCCAGCATCCTATATGATCCCCTGAGCACTGCCAGGAGTAATTCCTGAGTGTAGAGCCAGGAGTAACCCCTGTGCATTATCAAGTGTGACCCAAAAAGCAAAAAAAGAAAAAAAAACTGTCTATCTTGGTCAATGTGTCTTTACTAATGAGTAGAGTGACTGACCTCTAAAAGATATTTTATAAATATAACTGAAAAAAATGTACACACCAAGTCACTAACAACATAAATGATTTACATTGGTCAAATTTAGTTAACAATGATGAAGTCCTCAACTATTGACAGTCTGCTTACATTTTAAATTACAATTACAATTACAAATATGTCTCCATTAGACTTCTGATGTTTAGTGCATCACTGCCATGATCATTTTTAAAATATGGTACACTAGGGGGAAAAATATAACCATAGGTTCAGAGCTATAGTTCACAGGTAATTTCTTGCCTTATGTGGAGCTGACATGGGTTCGATCCCCAGAACCCCATATGATTCCCACCAAGCATGCCAGGAATGAGTGCAGAGCCAGTAGTTAGCCCCCCAAAATAAACAAAAAATACCTTTAGTGGCAGATAAATCATAAAGTTTAAGGAAAAAAATAATAGATCAAAGCTAATCTGGTTTCTTTGTGATAAATATAATACTATACTATAATGTAAAAATATACTGTAAATATTAATTTATTCCTTCATTGTCTTCTATAAAGATTATTACTAAGAAAATGTTCACATCAGTTTTGGAAATTTTGAAGTTCCAGCTGTATTCATATAGAATGACTAGATGGACACCTCTAAGAAAACTATTTTTCCAATTTCAAAACATTATCAAAGGTTATTTGAACCACCAGAGAATTATTCATGTTTGTTCTTTGGGTATATGTCAGATGAATGGCCTGGCAAAAGTGAATTACATTATATCTTATATGGATCAAAATAATTCTAAGATAAGCAGTTTATACTTGCTATTTAGGATTATCAAGAAAAACTGATGACAAGATCAATTAACAGAATCATCTATCATCTTTTGATTAACCACTTATAGTTTTAGTCCAGTCAGCAACAATCGTTTCTAACTTGGGATTATTTCCTATTCTAAAGATGCATACAGAAAAACAGTTGACAAATATGTAAGTTTATTCTTTATGCCAGCCAATGATCTAGGGAGTGGCTTATAGGTTTCTCCTGGCTAACAAAATACCTGATCTGAAAATTCTGTATTACATTCCTCAGCATCTACTTAAAAAAAGAACAGAAAAGCAAAATGAAATCTGAATATTGAGGTGAGAGATGGGAGTACAGATCCTTTTCAGAAAGACACTTCAGCCACATTTTTAAAAACAGGAACAATAGGGGGACTAAGAGATAGTGCAATGGGTAGGGTGTTTGCCTTCCACATGGCTGACTGGGCTTCAATCTGTAGCACCCTAATGGTACCCTGAGCATCAGTAGGAGTCATCTCTTTGAGCAGACCTAGGAGTAAGCCCTAAGCAAAAAGACAAGTGTGAGCCCCAAAACAAGAAACAGAAACAATTAATATTGAATTATAAATAAGTAAACTTGAATAATTGGTTAAGCAAAATTAACAATAGGTTACATATTTAAACAAATTTCAAAAAAGTAAAGACAGATATGTGTAAGATAAACAAAAAATTAAAATTTAATATGCATAATTACAAGCATTGTATAATAATAAACATTTTACAACAGAAATAACTGTAAGGTGATACACAAAGATAATAATTAGTAGAACTGGGTTTTATTTTCCTTTTCAATCTTATAGTTTCTTCTAAGATTTCTTGAGAAACCTGACCTGAGAAACTAAAACAAAATTTTAATTTGATATGCTTAAACTAAAATTAACATAATTAAAATTGAAGTTTCAATGGAATGAAAGTAAATATTTGTGCAGATTCTCATGAGTATCTCATACATTCCAATCACTATGAATATGCTAGATGTTAACCACTCATATTTTAATCTACACTCCCCACTCCTCTTTCATTTGCAATTTCTACTTAGGTATCTCATAAGCATCTCAAAAATCAAATTAATGTATCTAAAAATTAAATATGTATTTTTTTCTTTTTTGGGGGGTGGGCACACCTGACAATGCTCCTGATCTGTGCTCAGGAATCATTCCTGGCCATCTTGGAGGACCACATGCAGTTCCGGGGATCAAACCCAAGTTGTTGACATGCAAGCCAGGCACTTTGCCAGCTGCACTGTTGCTCCTGCCCATGAAATATGTAATTTCTGACCCTTCCAGGCTCCATTTCCAGTTTTCGCTAACTCAGCAAATGTATCACCATTTATTGACTTGTTCAAACCAGAATATTAGAAATAAACTGATTACTGCCACTCCTTCCTGCCACATGTACAATTGAACAGCACATCCTGATCGTTCAATTTTCAAAATAAACTTCAACATTCCAACACAGTAACCGAGACCACAATCTCTTAAGACAACCTGACCAATCATAAACATTTTCACCTCACAGCTCCTTTTTGTTCAAGAAATGCCACACAATCAAAATTTTGAACTCAGATACAGCCACTGCACATTCGGACACCTTTCCCCATGACCAAATTCACAACCCCACATCCAGTTACATGCCCTAGTAATTTAAAAAGCTAGAGATGCGGGGGGAGTGGGGTGGTGGTGGGGGGGTGCTGGAGGGGGCAGAAATTAGAGATACAACTACCTTATGCCTCATCCCACTACAGTATCTTTTGTTTTGCAACATAGCTAAACAATTTAAGTGTCAACCTGAAAAGTTGATACCAAACTTGAAACCATTCAAATAGTAACCACTCACAATAAAATCAAACACTCCAAAGTTTTGGAGTGCCCTGACTTTTACATTAATTCTCAGACTCTCCATGGATCTCTGACATCCAGATTCACTGTGTTTTCTTCAGTTATTCAACAGTTCAACTGACTATTTGGTCACTGTGCTTCAGAATAACATTTCGGCAGACCACACCAGACTCCACTTAAGAGAGAATCTCTGGCTTGCTTTCAAGTCCATTGGTGTTCTCCCTCGAACACTAATATCATAAATCTCGCTCTTTTACTGCTTTTTTTCCACTCAGGAGAGGCCCACTTTCTCTCTTTCTCTCTTCTCAAATCTAAGTAAACTTTGTTTATATATATATATATATATATATATATATATATATATACACATATTGCTTCACAGGAAAGAAAAAAAAAGAAAGAAAAAGAAAAGATTCAGCTGAAAACAAAAAAAAACATTAAAATAATCACACAAATTAAAACCATCATTTTATGTTTGGTCACACAAACAGTATTGTATGATCTTTCGGAACTAAGAGATTTTAATCAGGTTTGTAATATGAACATCACTTCAGCTGGGGAGAGAGTAAACAATCAATACACTTTTTTTTGCAAAGTATTTCTTTTGTTGGTTATAGGGAAGCTTCGGTAACGTCATAAGGAATTCCCCAAATATTAAAAAAAGTCTGAGAAAAATCTAAATCAGCTTTCATGGTCTTGGTGGGCCCCAGGATATTCTGAAGTGGCTAGATGGGAAACCGAATAAATGGGAGAGGGGAAAAAGCATGAGAAGAGGGTTTCAATTCATAGGACAAGGAGGTCACAGGAAGAAATGTGTCATAAATGGCTCACAGTCATTAAAAGATCAGAAAAACCGATCTAGTCTAATGTTTGTCAACTTTTCTTACACCCGTGGACTGAGAAAAAGGGAAATAATTTGCAGACCAGGTGATGACTAAAACAGAAATAAAACCAATCTAGACTGCATTTTATTGATTAAATCAAACAGTATGGAATCACAATTATTAACTAATGCATCATCTGCATCACACCCACCAACTGGCCCCCTGGCACCGTGTAATCCCATCAATGGCCAAGACTCAGAGACTATAAAACCCAGCTCTCTGAAAAGAACAGTGCAGTCTCCTGCCCCCGCGCCTGGCTGTCCTTGCCGGGGCCCCTTGGAGAGTAGCGAGTTGAGCTTTCCTCCCCGCCCCGACCAGGGCTCCGGCAGCCGAAGACCTCCAGCACCAGCCACCACCATGCTGAGACCACTCTCCGCACACATGAAGGTACTGGCAGAGGAACAAAGGCAAGCGGGTCCTGGGGCTGAGATCTCCAAGCCTACTCGGATCGGGGCTGAGCATCCTCCACCCAGATCCTCCGAATTCCAGTAGGCAGGGGTCACACCCACCAACTGGCCCCCTGGCGCCATGTAATCCCATCAATGGCCAAGACTCAGAGACTGTAAAAACCAGCTCCCGGAACCACGTGGCCACATTCACAGCCTCGCGACATCTTATTATGACATCTTATTATCTCATTCCTACTTTGGACAAACTGGCAGGCTACCGAATGTAATCTGCCCACATGGCAGAGTCTGGCAAACTCTCCGTGGCGTACCCAATATGCCAAATACCAGTAACAATGATGGGTCTCATTCTCCTAAAGAGCCTTGAATATAGCACTTTCTTAAAAATCTCAGGGCTAGGATGAAGGAGACATTACTGGGGCCTGCTCGAGGCATCATCTGCAAATTGCCTTTACTGGGGGAAAATTATTGGCAGACCACCAGGAAATTTCCACAGACTGACCACAGTTTGTTGAAGAGCTGGGGTCTCAAAAATAAGTAAAAAAAAAGAGTTTTAAGGCAATGGACTGTTAGTATAGGGGTTAAGGATTTTTCTTGCATGCAGGCCACCTAGATTTAATCCTAGCATTACCAGGCGTGATGCACAAGCACAGAGCCAGAAGTAGGGTCTGGGCACAGACCAGGGTAGTCCGTGCATACCAGGCACTGAATACCCCAAAAGAAAGAATCTTTACTGACCTGGCGTATCTGGGCATTGTTTTAAGACGTTTTTTTTTGGCTTTTTGGGTTAGACTCGATGATGCTGAAGGGTTACTTCTGGCTCTGCACTCAGGGATCACTCCCGGCAGTGTTTGGGGGACCATATGGGATGCCTTGGATCGAATCTGGGTCGGCCACGTGCAAGGCAAACATGCTATACACTACTCCATTGCTCTGGCCCCTGGGGAATGTTTTACATTCTTGAGAACACAGTTTTAGTGCTACCTAATAGAAAAATTGAGTTGGCTAAAACAGAGGGGCTTCTCTCCAAAGACAGAAGATGCCAGAGCAGTTAACAAAATAGTTAATGCTCCCCTATAACAGCCCCCCTTCTTCCTCTGTGCTAATGTTCTTTCTATAGTCTTCTCTTTCTCTTACATAAAAGTTTCATACCACGTACTTCCATGGTTGGGAAGTTGTGTGGTGGTGTCCACAAGTCCAGAAAGTAAAAATATGGGGAGGAGGGAGCACCCCAGAAAGTCAAAACAGCAGCCCACCTAAATGAGGTATTTTTATTTGACTCGGGAGCTTGCCCTAGAGTGAACAAAAACTTATTATTTTTTGGGGGGGTCACACCCAGTGATGCACAGGGCTTACTCCTGGTTCATGCAGTCAGGTATTACTCCTGGCGGTGCTCAGGGGACTATATGGGATGCTGGGAATTGAACCCAAGTTGGCCTCGCGCAAGGCAAACATTCTACCTGCTGTGCTATCACTCCAGCCCTAAAAACTTATTTTTTCGTGCAGCAGAGCAGCTATGTCAAGAAAGTGGGTTCCAGAGGAACCCCCACAGTGGCAGCACGACTGACTCTTCTGTTTACTTTTTCCTTTCTTTTATGGAAGAGAAAGCACTCTTTTCATAGTCTGAGCACTTGCTAGCACACACACGCAGTGGATCTTCGGTCAGATGGAGGGCTGAAAGGGTCAAATGAAAAACAAGTATTTTGTCCGCAGGTCCTCCTAAAACATCCCCACCTGTTGTCTTCTTGCCGCGACGTAGTTAAGTTTCACCATCTCCTTCCCAAATTCCTTAAAGCGATTTGCGAGATCTTGCTCATTTGTAGCATTTTTAACAGCTTCCAGGGCTTCCTCTACCTGTGGTGGAGGAGGGAGGCAAAAAGAAATGATCATTACAAAAAACAGTGAAGCACAGTATACACGGTTGTTTGTAAAATTAGAAACACTATTAGAATGAGCAAATAATGTGCAAATAGAACCCCTAACAAACACATATGATTAGAAAAAAAGTAGCACAGCGTTAGGGCATTCGCCTTACAAGCGGCCAAGATGGCCAACCCGAGTTCTATTCCTCCGCCCCTCTCGGAGAGCCCGGCAAGCTACCGAGAGTATTCGATGTGCCAGACACAGTAACAACAAAGTCTCCAGTGGAGACGTTACTGGGCCCGCTCGAGCAAATATCTGCTTAAGAATTATAAAATATAGATCATACATATATAAGTTGATAAATGCTGGAATTTTAGATCATTTGATTGACTTTGCTGATTGCATTTTATTTATTTTTTAAAATATTTTGAGCATTACAAAGCTTTTCATGATTGGATATCAGTCATACAGTGTTCCAACATCCATCCCTCTACCCATGTACATTTCCCAGCACCAGTGTCTGCAGGTTCCCTCCCATCACCCCCCATCCTACCCCCTGCCCGCCTCTACGGTAGGTTCGTTTCTTCTCTCTCTCTCTCTCTCTCTCTCTCTCTGACATTGTCTTTTGCAATATTGCTACTGAAAAGTTATCAAGAATATCCCTTACCTACTTTTAACCCTCAGATCTCGTCCAACGTGATCATTCCCAGCTATCATCATACTGGTTTCTTCTCTATCTTACCTACCCTCAGCCCCCCACACACTTGTGGTTATTCCCAACCATTGACCAGTCCTCCTAACACTTGTTTACCTTGGCCATGGATATTATTCTATTGCATGTGATTCTGATAAGCAATATAAACTTCTAGTTTCAAGTGATTTTTTTTCTGGTATGGAATTTTGATCCAGTTCTAGAAATCTTCAGAGAATAAAGTGGTTTGCAAACAAAAAATTAGAGAACCTGCTGAAAGTTTTACACAGCTTGACTCTGCCAAGTGCAGGCTGGCAACACATCCAAGTCTAAATTAAAGGAACTGTAATTTTAAACTGAGTTTACACCTTACCAACTGCCAAAAGAAAGAGAAAAAATCAGCCCCGAGAAACAATGCCCCATTTCCACCCCCTCCAGATGCCCAGCTTCCAGATTCTTGCGAACTGTTTCATGGAACTTTCCCAGAGTGGTCTTAACCTTGATCTAAAAATTTCTCTAGGAATTATTTTATGAGGAGAGATAGTATAGGGGTAAGGCACCTGCCTTGCAAGTTACCAACCCGTGTTTGATTCCTAGTACAGCATATGTTTCTCTGAACACTACCAGAAGTTATCCCTGAGCACAGAACCAGGAGTAAGTCCTGAGCCTAGCTGTGTGTGGCCCAATGGCCTCCGACCCCCCAATAAAGAATTTCTTTACAAATAATGTAAACATTCTAGAGGTATTACAGTCTCCTCCCCTCTAGAATGATTATAATATCCATGTAATCGATTAAACTTAAGACTGCATTGTGAAATAATTTATTGAATAATGGTCAGAAAAGTGGCATCTTTGTAAAAATAATTTTATCAACAGAGTTGACTAAACACAGAGTACTTAATGAATAGGATACATGTTTGAAAACGCAAAAGGTCTTAGATATAAAGGCATCTTAATAGAGGCCACAATTAGTAAAAAAAAAAAGGGCAGAAGGAAGAAAGAGTAATGGACCTACTTCAGAATTCAGATTGGCTCTTGAAATTTGAATCCATATCAAAGTAGAATCTGCAAACAGTTCACTGGTAATGTGGAAGCAGAAATTACCACTAAGATAGCTGGAAATGCCAATGAATTAATGTAGTCCGAGGTAGAGAGATACAGCTTTAGTTAAGATTGACAGTGACAGAGGAGCTAATTCAACTTATCGACTTTCACTGAGAATAGTGTATAAACATAAACCAGAGAAAACAGATACCTTCAAACGTTTTACTCCATAGATATCATAGTAGTATTCAATTTACTAAGAAGGCTAACTCATTCTCTGAAAGAAATCTCTATATCAAGTGAGGGAAACGATTCAGAAGAATTGTAACCTAAGCACTATATAAAACAGTTTTTTACTGTCTATGGAAATTCTACATTTTTTCCTAATTGTAAAGATAGAAAATGATTATTTAGTTCTTTAATGTTAGTCTTTTCAGACTCTAAAGAAAGAAATGTCCAAAAAAAAGTATCTTAAAAGGGGACTGTTGTGTGTTGGGTTGTTTTTAGATGCAAGAATAAAATGACATTTTATGGTATTGAAATGGACCATTTAAACCAGTTGCAGAGTTTAATGGGACGCCTGTATCTCAATCATTAAAACAACAAATTGGCCTCGCCTTCCTTTCTAATACAGTTATAATCTTCCCATTATGGCTATTAACAACATCATTAAGAGGACAGATCTTTGATATTAATTTCCTCCTGCTGCTTCCTTGAATTGTAAATCTTTTCTTAGGACATAAAAACCTGTTACCAGGAAGAGCGAAATAATTATCTCAGAGGGAGCTAAACATTGCATTTGACTTCAAGTATATAGATAAAATAATCTTTTTAGTGGTTGGTCATCACGCTGCTTTAGAGTATTTTGTTGTGTTACACATAACTCATTCTCTCCGAAAAATCCAGTTACTGATTTAAATCTAAATATTAACTCTACAAGATTCTTTTTTTTTCCAGTGAGAAAGCTCATGTTTTATTTTTCAATTTATTAATTTTAAGATAAAATATTTTAATATTGTATGTCAAAAACCCAGCTACGAATAACTTTGCAATTCATGATATTTAATAAAATAATTTTTTTAATCCATTCTATTTTTTAAAAAATTTTATTAGTAAATCATGGTGGATCTCGTCTACACAATTCTTTTGGAAAGAAGCACCAATGATGTGTGCTGAGTGCACAAGAGTAGACTCAGTCATATTCCGTGATTTTGGGTTGTTTTTATTTTTTGTTAGTTTTCTTTTTAAAATAGGGGGTCCAGGAATCAGTTCTGGAGATGCTTGATTCAGCAACATCGACTGGACCAGTGCTAGCCCTCACAGTGCAGTGCAAGGTCTATGCTTGGTGGGACTCAAGAGCCACCGATGCTATGCCTAAAGGTGCTTGATGAACTCTGTAGTATGGGGGATGGAACACCAGGGCCTTGTACTGTCAGGTGTCCACCAACACCCACACTCAAACCTTAAAGAATCAGAGAGATGGTCCAATATTATAAAAATTTTAAAAATCATGGTTCTGGATCAAGGAGATACCGTAAGAGAATACAACACATATTTTGCATGGAAGTCCAGGATTTATCCCAAGCATTTTGGGGAGGATCTTTCTGCATTTGAACCACTCCTCTGTCATTTGTTTGCTCTATTATTCAGGGGAGCCACTTAAACTTTCCTTTTTGGGGAGGGGGAATAGCCAGTTGGGACACTACACTTAAACAACTCTTGACACATGGTTGATACTCAGGGGCTACTCTGGCTCCATACTCTGGAGTCATTCCTGGCAGTGCTCAAGGCACCACATGGGATGCTGGGTACTGGCCGCATGCAAAGCAAGTGCTCTACGTTCTGTATCATCACTCTACCCCACTACTTAATGTTTCTGACCCACAGTGCCTTCACTAATTAGATGAAGGTAATAGTATCTAAATGATGCATAGATTGCTAGAAGAAAAATTAAATATCAAGTAAAGAAGACTACCTGGCAATAATCAGAAGCCCCTGAAGCAGAAATACTAGTGTGCTCTATAAAATCTCTTAAAGGGATATGGCTATATCCAATTTTTTTACAGAGTGTCTAAGTCAGTATCTCAATTTCGTGGTTTAAATTGGGCATACTCATTTTGGTATATAAAATAAACAGATTTACAATTCATTTAACTAGCATCTATTAAGCACATACAGGCAGGCATATGGTGATGCAACTGGGACTGAATTAATGAGTCTGATCTTTCTCTTCCTAGACTGTGTGTTTTAGTTCTCGTGTCGATATATACTGCCCTCTCCAGGGCACTAAATCATTGCTGTTATGATTGTCATTTCTGTTTGGACAAATTAAACTCTTGTCAGTGTCCTACTATTGATATCCAGGTGATTAAATTTAAAGTGATGGATGAAATCACATAAATCATACATAACTCTCTTGTTACGATTAGATTTTACAGCTAAACAATATCTTGGAAATAGGAGTACTCAAAATAGGTGAATAAATGAATTTAAGATTTGACTTCTATTTGTTTAGTCAGATAATCTGATTTGATCACTGTATCAGAGCAATATCGATCTTTATTTTACTATCTCCAAAAGATAATCTGAACAGTGTGTGTGTGGGGGGGGCACATTCTGTGGTACTCAGTCTAATTCTTGGCTCTGTGCTCAAGGTTCATTCTTGGCAGTGCTCAGGGTACCATATACAATGGCAGAAATCAGAAACTGAGAGTCATACTAGCTCTAGCTGCCTAAGATATTTCACAGCAGAAGTTTGTATTTGTAAATAAGTAGCTTGCTCCTAAGCTCAGGCTTTTAACTCTTGGGTGTTGTCTTAGTTTCCAACAAAGAATGGGTATATAATGTTAATGGAACTTGAGCTAGGATTCTATTGATCAGATGGTTAGGAAGACTAAGAGCTTTGCCTCATATGATCAGTTCAGTCCCCAATTTCTAGTCTACTCATACTAACACTTTCTGAAGTCGGTCACTTTTCTACAATACACAGATCATTGCCTTTTTGATTACTGTCACTGTCACTGTCCTCCCATTGTTCATCAATTTGCTCAAGCGGGCCCAGTAATGGCTCCATTGTGACACTTGTTACTGTGTTTGGCATATTGAATACGTCACCAGTTGCTTGCCAGGCTTTGCCTGCGGGAGAGATACTCTGGGTAGCTTGCCGGGCTCTCCAAGAGGGGTGGAGGAATCGAACCCAGCTCAGTCGGGCTGGCTGCGTGCAAGGCAAATGCCCTACCGCTGAGCTATTGCTCCA